TCCAGTTGCTGTGTCAGTGCTGAGGCCGATTCTGTTGGGTTTTCTTTCCGTGGCTCGTCTCAAAGTGCTGCGAATGGACACCGCGAGTCCGCGGAGAATTCCGTGACACGTCGATTCTGGAATGCTGGCGACGTCCCGGCTGACTCGCAGTCCCGAGGTGGGGCCAAGCTTGGACACCCTGGGAGTTTTTCGTGCGCGCTCAATCTCAGGCCTTGTTGCAGCACGTGGCCGAGCTTGGCAAGTTTGACACGCCGAATCCTGAGAGCTAGCTCATTTCCGTTCCACCTGCAGTCCGCCTGCAGCACGAGGGAGTGCATTTTCCAGATCCGTGCAGGTCCGCCTCGATCGTCATGTTTTCTGATGCTGCCCGATTAAACCCCGATGCCATTGCTGACGATGTCGAATACCAGAAGCGATATCATTGCCTCTTGCTTTGTTCAGCGAAGTCCAAACCCACGAGTCCAGAAGATCCTTCTGCCTGTGGTCAATTTTAGATCTTGGCCCAATGCTGTGTTCTGCATCTCAGGTCACAGGAGCGAGCACGACCCGTTTTGCTGAGGATTATGTACACCAAACCGTCCGCAGAAACCTTGCTGCCATGCTCGGACACTGCCTTGACCCAAATGAATCTGTGCGCAAAGCGGCGCACCATCTAGTTGGAGAGCATGTCTTCGATGGCCTTGGCTTCGTGAAGGAGCTGGTCGCAGACACTATGCTCAGTCATATGCGAGACATCTTGTCAGCCAGAGGAGAGACACAGGTGACCTGGGATCGCATGGAGCGGTGCATGGTTCATCTCGAAGGGCTCCTACGATCGCTGACGAAGCGTCAGCGTCAGGAATGGGCATCTGTTTTGGTCAGACTCCTGCATAGCCTGCAATCAGCTGCAGCTCCACTCAGGGCCACTCGCCAGAAGTTGATGGTTCACAAACTGAAGCTCCTTTGGTGTGCTGACGGCGATCCCAAGCGAACTTACGCGTATGAAGAGCTGCAGCTGCAGGCCTGCTCGAAGTCGCCGAACTTCGAGGATGTGAGGCAAGACTTGAAACTCCTCCTAGTATGCTGCTAACGACTGTTTCACAAGCAGCACACAGCTGTCGAGAGACAAAAGGTTCAAAGGACGAGTGGATCGCACAAAACTTGCCACTCTACGATTCCTCTGCACAGCAGCTTCTGCACCAAGGCCATGTCGCGAGGAGGATTTTACTCTGAACAGAAGGCCCCGCTCGGGCACAGGCAGTTGTAGTAGTAGTCGAACTAATAGTCGAGGTAGTCGTAGTAGCCGGTCGTCGTCG